TTCGAACAAGGAGGTTCTTTCAAAAGACGAAGACCCCCGACTTCTCAACTGGGTGCATTTATCTTCACGTCCCGAGAAACTTCAGAATCCTGAAAACACAATATCAATAAATGTCGAACTGTACAACAGACGTACATACCATGCCACAAGTCCTGACAATTTCGTGATTGGCAGTCAGTTCCTTACCATCTTGCTCTTCACACTTTCACACCAGGAAATAAACGCGCATGTTCAACGAGACACTGACATACAAACGGCATATGCATATAATTCTGCGAAAGCATATTCCCAACGACCTTCTGCATGCTCTGATCTCCACTACAAAGCGAATGGACTACTTCAGCTTCTTCTTGCTAGATACGCGACGCAAAATCAGCTTCACAAAAAAGACAGGGTACCATAGAAGACTCACGGGCGGAGCTGCGACGAGTGACCACAAGAGCGCTTCCTGCAGTTAGTCGCACGAGGGGGCAGCCGTGCGTAGCACTTTCGGCAAATCTGCTTGTCGCAGTTGTATTTTGAGGCCAGGACCTTGAGCGAGGGCTCGATGATTCCACCACGGAGACTATAGAACACCCATCAGTAAGACCAAACCACATATACCAGGAAAATACACAGACCGGAGGACCAAGTGGAGAGTCGACTCTTTCTGGATGTTGTAGTCGCTCAAGGTACGGCCGTCCTCGAGCTGCTTGCCGGCGAAGATGAGACGCTGCTGGTCAGGAGGAATGCTAGGAACACCAAGGATCAGTATCAGCATCCCTCTCCAACACGCAACCTTACCCTTCCTTGTCCTGAATCTTGGCCTTGACATTGTCGATGGTGTCCGAGGATTCGACCTCGAGGGTAATCGTCTTACCCGTGAGGGTCTTGACGAAAATCTGCATCTAGAAGAAAAGACCCAAGTCAGGCAGACGGACAAGATAGAAAATTATGGCCTCCCAACTCACGGTGCTGGTTAAAGGTTATCCTGGGAAAAACCTGACCAACTGTACAGTTTGTCGTCGCTGTCACTGTCACGGTGGCTGACTTGAGGGCCGGAAGTCACGTGAAGAATGATGACGTCAGGGACCAGCGTTACTGTTTAAAACCTTACTTTTTTAGGTTCTGTCTTCGTTTGCTTTCATCACCCTGCAGGTCCAATGTGGCGCTGGCTGGATACAGTTTTACGTCCGTAACCGGATCACTGTACTCTTTACGAGCTATTCAATCCTTTGCGAAAACTCTTTTATAAATTGAGGGACGTAGGCCAACCGAAAAGAATTTCGTGCTCAGCGACGCCTAGTAAGTCGGGATCTGGGCGGGGCAGTTTCGGCATCCATACATATTATGGCTAGTTTAGTGGAAACGTGTGTAGTTGGGCTGTCCTCTGTTTCACGTCTTGAATACGTTTACCTCGCCGCTCTCCTCCCGTACTTTCATGAAGCTATACATAACCCTCTTCTTCCGTCTTCCATTTCGTGAGGTAGATTCCGGATCCCATTCTGCGCCACCGCCACAGCATCATATCTCCGTTAAGGAAAAAGGATAAAGATCTTGCTTGTAATACACTCGACTTGTGTTCGCCGTCGACGAGGTCGCCGTGTTCATGCTAAGAATACGAGCAACTTGAATGAGGGGGATTAGCGATCTCTATATGATATCTGCATCTGTACCCCTAGATCTCCATTAAATATGCGCACGAAATACGTATGGTACAGAATGTGACTGTTAAGATAATTAGATGCAATGCAGTACAACCTCCGGTCCGGTCCAAAATACACGCGAATACATGGTTTCCAAGATATCACCAAAAGCGAAAACATAGTCAGTTAGGTCATAATCAAGCGTTACCCTCCGTCACCTTCGAGAGTGTGAACGGACCCGCCCAAGCCGGCATGCCAGGGTCTTCGTGTGTTATCCTCCAGTTCCCAACGAAATTCTTCCCATCGACGAGGTATCCAAAGAAGAACAAGTTACCCAAACGGCGGTCGCGCTGCGAAAGAAACACGCAGCATAAGAACCCAAAAAATGGAAAACAGAACAAAGCTCACTGCAATCCTAAGAATGCCAATCATCCCATCCCACCGCCTAACTCGGCCATAATACGTGTAATGATTCCACGCCTGTCCATGCCTATCATCAGTCTTTCCCGTAATAATCACATCCTGCACACCGGTACAGGGCGGAAGAGGGACACTGTCCAAAGGCGCGTCCTCATCGTTTGCTACCGCATCAGCATCCGCGTCCCGTCGTTTCCTCTCCTGCTTCTCCCGCATCGCACAACCGACGCATGTCTCTCGGTCATGGAACCTCCCTTTTATCTTTGTCTTCGACTCGCTTCCATTCCAATTCTCGTACACGTATTCCTGCCCCCGAGCCGTCACCCGTATGCCATGTCCGTCAATAGTTTCTTGGAAGGCAACGTCTTGGGGGAAATAGGCGTTGCGCATGCCTTGATCGAATTCGTCAAGGAGATGTTGCTGGTCGATCTCGGGTCTACCGTCGTCCTCTGGTAAAGGCATATCATCGTCCTCCAATTCGCTCTCACTAGCTATGTCCACATCACGCAGGCTATCCACGGTGTCCTCATCCATGTCTTCCTCTTCCTCCTCTTCCTCCTCGGCATCCTCATAACGTGAAGGTACAGGTCCCTTTGCACCGGTAGGAATGATATCACCGCCCGCATAAGATACATGCTCCCGTAGACGCATATACACAGGCGCGCTTGTGAGCCCGAGGTAATCTTCGCTAAACCCCTGGGGTAACGGTACAGGGTTGTCATTTTGAGTGGGATTTTGTTGGCCGTTATTTTGATTTGGGATCAAGAGCTGCAGGAGCTGATGTTCGCCAGGTATCTAGAGCGGCGAAGTCAATGAAAATGGTCTAGGACAACTGGGGAAATAACCTACAGCCATACGACCAGCCCACAAGCCAGTGAGCGATCCCAAGACGAACATCTCGGCCTGACGAAATCTGAGCTCGCGTATCTCATGGTCCGCAGTCTTGACTCTCATTCCTTTACCCAACTGTGCCCGTCGCCAGATCTCATCATCATCCCCCAGATCATCAGCCCATGCATTAGTGCAGAGCCGAAGTCTGTACCACTCTGAATCGTAGGCTCTGCTTATGTCTGACACTTCGTCCGAGGAATCTGGAGCCACTGCCGGAAGCTTGGTGCCCCCATACTTGCCGTCAGGGCCGCCGAGACGATGCAGGTTCATCTCATGGATGTCCTCCTGCGTCGGGCCAATGTGTCCGCCTAGGCCTCTGGCTATGGCCTCTGACCTGTTCCTAGGTAGGCTATAGTTCATGCCATATGGATACAGCTCCCTGCGTGAGAAGAAGAGGAGCTTGGCAGCGGTAGTGACAAGGGGACATGTTAGGGAGATACGCCGTGAGAAATGGACCTGTGACCAGACACGAGAAGGGGACCGGTACACTGGATAAGGGCCGTGGGGTGTAGGTACCGAGAGGAAATGGGCGGTGCGAGTACGAAATGGTATTCGCGACGATAGATTAGAGAAATCGTAGGCATTGGACTGGAGGGGCAAGACAAAGTGGTTCGGCGGTGCAAAGGCAGATGCATACCGAAAAGGGACGGTAACGAAAGGTAGAATCAATTGAATGATACGTTCTGACGTCTCTTCTGTTTCGGTAAGCAAGCGCACTACGGATAAGCTCAAGCATGAGGTCATCACAAACAGAACGACGACGTACCCTTTGTAGAAAGTCTCCAGAAAATCCACAATGCCAACGCATTCACACAGTTGTCGAGCGGCCAACCGCCAGTCTCGCTTGCTCCGTCATACAAGCGCAGGGTCACAAAGTCGTGGATCCACTCGTACGCACCAACCGCCGTCAGCTGCCGCAGATTGTAGCCGTCGTCGTCGAGGCACATAAAGTATACTGCCCAGAGTACGTCGGAGACATCGACGTCGTACGTATTCCTCAGCGTGCGCTCCCCGTCCAGTCCCCGTCGCTCGAGGATGAACTGGAGCGTCTTGCGATACCAGCACAGCTGGTGCTTCAAGTCCTGCGACGTCAGCTCGAATGCACGGCGGCTGACAGCACCGTAGCTGAACTTGAAGGTGAAAATCTGGCGGAAAACGGCGCTGGATTCATGGAGGTAGAGGCCAATGTCGCGGCAAGTGAGAATGAAGGGTAACAGCGAGCTGGGAAGGCCGTCTCTGGTTGGACAGGCGACGTAGAATGCGATGAGGTCGATTGTCTCTACGGGCAGGGAGAGGAGCGAGGGCATGGCAGAGAATGGACAAGGACCAACAGCACGTCGGATTCATTGCGAGTGTAGTTTATATAAACTGGTGGGAACCAGGAAACAGTGATTCCGGATGTAGCCGTGTTTATCCCCGATCGTTCTGTCCTATTTTTCTATCTTTCCCGTCCTTATCCAGCCCTTTTCTTTTCAACTTTCTGATAAAATCGCGTCACTCCCGGTTTCTCCCTCACGTTGTCTGGCAAATTACCTTCCTATACACACTGCTTTTTGTACTTTCGCATACATCCATGCGCCGAAGCGCCCCGAAAAGGGTAGTTTTCCTTATTCTTGATCGCCGCCTTGCGATCTGTCACCTACGTAAGTAAGTATCACCGTCTGCCCAGACTTGCAAACTCGCACGGCCTTCAATCCATCAGCTCTCAGGCCTTTCCCCTTTGTGATGTGACATCCAAATCTCTCCCACCTGATCTATACTCAGCGGCGCTCGTTCTATCCTTCGGCCATGTCCGGCTCTTTTCAGGACTTCTAATGAGAACACCTATTTATTGCTGACAACGACAAGCGCTGAGGAAAGCGATGACGTCCTCCTTCAGATTCCCGTAACGTTAGAACTAGGAACACGACTATTTACCTGACTGAATCCATTCAATATAACAACGAATCGATCTACATCGACTGTGCTCAATCGCCGCTCGCGTCGACGACTCAACGCTCTGCAATTTTAGAAAGTGAATGTGATTGAAAATGTATATAAAAAAAACAGTCCAAAATAAAAGTATGGCTCTCTGACTGGGAGTCGAACCCAGCTTTCGCGCGTCCTAGTGACAGGCGCGTGTACTAACCGATATACTATCAGAGATACATATTGTTGTGAAACTTTACCTACTAGATCCTTTACCAATGTCGGTACATGGGCCTTCCGTATCTTCCCACTGACTGCCCCAAACCACCATCATCAATTCGAATCCGTAAAATCATAGCCTCTTCGTTTCTCGCATCTGACGGAAACCATTTCCCACACCAATATATCCTCCCTGGATAGTCAGCGGTAACCTAGGCCTGGAACTTCCCGCCGGTAGGCTGTAGCGCCCCCGCGGCTCACAGATCTTTCGGCATACTTATGCTTTTTCAAACTACAAATTCCAATCTCTGAGAGCTATACGTCACTCAGGACCAGCAGCTCATCCCTGGATCATTAACCCGGGCCATGGCCCATGGGGTCATTTACATTTCGACTCCGCGAATATGCTTTCAAGTGGTCTCCGTCTCTTCTTTCCGCGCCCGTATCTCCTTGGATGATTTCTGTTCCACAAACTTGGTACAGGCCCGCAATGATACCTCAGACTTTCTGATGGATGCCCACTATGACGATCGGGTCCCAAATACCTGTCGCGACTCGAGTTAAATGAAACTGGACCGCCATGGCGGCGATGAGGCCCTCGTCTTCCATTTCTCACTCCCACCGTAGTCCAACGGGTAATACCCGCGAGGCGGCTATCTCCTCGAACGGTCTCGGATTTATGTGCTATCAGAAAATTTCTTGTAATGACTTTCTCATCGTCAAGCCACAATCATTCCTCACGCTCGTGCGTCGTTCTCAAGAGCAGCGGCTCATCATTTCCGTCAAGTAACCCGTTCATATAACTCTAACGAATGTATCCGCGACACCATCCTCGCGCCTCATAGCGATAAGAAAGTTTGGTATTTCTCCCGCTTCCATTTTCTGCATGTGGAGCCTCTCGAAGCAGCGAACTGTGCGTGCTCTCCCGATGTCCATCCAATCACACACCATGGACCTAGGTGTTCTATCGCTCCGGATGTGATGCTTTCTCTGTCACAAGGCCAATGAAATCCTTGCTCCTCTCCCGCCTCTCCCGGATAGCCGTCTGTCTTTGATTTCGCACGTTTTCTCTTACCATCACCATCGCCATTCTATAGGCTCATCAAATCCTACTTTCTGCCCGTAACGCGCAAATCTACGGTAACTTTGTGTTCTGAAAGCGGTCTTAAGGGAATATGTCTCTTCGCATGTACTTCCCCAAGCAAACACCCACTTTGGAGTTTGTGGGAAGGTCAGATCATTCTGGGGTACCACTCCAGTTTCCTAATTCTTAGCCCTGAAGCCCTTGATGGATGTACCATTGCTACTTGTTTCATCAAATCTATTCCTTCGTTATGAGTGGAAGCTGACGTTTGGTTCCCGCCTCGGAGCTCGAGCGTTTCCGGTATCTGGTTCCAAATCCTAACTCTTCACGGAACATACTGGGAATACAGTACAAGGATCATATTCAGTCTTCTATGATTTAAAAACACCGCGACCTGCGAGCTTTGTTGAATGTGAAACGCTAAAGAGTCGCTCTACGTGTGTTTATATGCGATCCCTCCGTCAAGAGAACACGATTGCGGGGAGATCGCCCCAGTCAACATAACAGCTGTTCCTTGAAAGCTGCAGCTTGATATTAATAGCCTTTAGGTGTCTCGCTCGCTCTAAATGGACCTTCCAATTCTAGGCCTGAGAGAATCTTTGGAGGCGCGGCCCGCGAGAACATCTATGTTTAATTAGACCACCATCTGTATACATCTCTGGTGGCGCAATTCATCGGCATCAACTTGAACCAAACTCGCTCTGGCAGTAGTCGGTTTGTGAAACAGAAAACGCTAAGAGGGTAACATACAGAAGAGAAAGAGCCGCCTCGCGGCGGCATCGGAACTTGTAGGAAAGCGCATCAAAGTTCTATACCCGGCCTTTGGCAACTTGGCTTTCGAGGATGAAAACGAGCACCTTCTGCAATGATCGATCATACGGGCAGGGCAAGTCACGACCTGATTCGAGAACCCTGTGAGAAATGAAGTGCTACTCGCGGAATCTGGATTTTGGAACACGAAATATGAGAAGGTCTAATATTGTAGGCTTTGAAGGAAGATATCGAAGACGAACGCTGTTAGTTTGTGTCCTTTAGAGGAAAGAAGTTGGACTATGAACATGTCACCTGACATGGTGTGAAGTCCTTATTTATGCTACTGCTGAGCATTGTGCTCAAGATAAGACTCTAGAAGTGTCAGCGGCCAACCTATAGCTCCTCAGAACGAAAAACTAGACCATCACTCCTCTTTCGCATCTCTAAGACCTTGCGTGTCCAAAGTCCAGGTCTGAAGAATCATCACCGGATGTCGAGAAGAGAATTTTTTCAAGGTCGATCACAAAGGATGTGAGATTGTAGCTCAGGCCCGTCGAGTCAACCCATCTTTCAATCACAACATGCCCTCGGCCACGTTGCCCCCTTCGATTCTACACAACATCGTGAGATACAATTCCTCCAGAGAACAAGCGAAGTCCTACCCTTTTCCAGCTGTTCCTTGCCGCAACGCACAGCAACCCTGACCATGGGCAAGGACAAACGCATGCGACTTATCACTTGCGTGGCGAATGAATATAAAAGAACGACCTCATTCCTGTCGCCATCACCACCATAGAACTGTCCACCTGAGAGAAAGGACGTTGGAACTTGCGACCCTTGATAAGAAGCTACAAAAGTTCAGATAGTAGCAAGCCTTGCGGCGCGTTTCAGAGTAAGATCTACGAACCGCAGTCGGAAGACGCTGCATTTTTCGGGGAGCCATCTGGACAAGTGACAGAATCTTTCTGGGGCCAGCCCTGATAATCTAAAGGTAGAGACGACGGTGGATTTACACCGCCGCAGTGTGGAGGCTAACGGCATAAATTGAGTGAATCCGACGTGACCACTGATCCCAAACCTCAGGTAGAGCCTTTTTCCTGGACCGTTCGACGGTTCCGTTGGTATGTCCGTTCAGCGAGAAGCAAGTGACCTGGGGTGTGAGTCAGTTTGCGCCCATTTATCCCCCCGCTTAAAAGGTTTGAGACCACGAACTTCGATTCATGCCAGAGTCAAAGTCTATCGAATGATAACAGACAGTCTGATAAAGCTTCAGTGTCTCCACGGGAACCTTGAGCCAGGCCGTGACAAATCGGCCAGAGTAGAGAACATGACTGGCGTGGAAGCTGCATAATCTTGGCGTTCTTTCAAAAAAAATTTAGGAACTATTGCTGTTCAATACAAACGGGGGAGGTGCTTACGCCCGGTCCGGAGACAAGTGCCAAGGTAATCGAGTGATTAAGACCCGTCAGTAAACTAGCGCTCATCAATTTTGCTTAGAACATTAAGAGAAAATGAGACTGCGGAAGCTCGTCAGGCGATTTGACAGCGGTAGTGAACATTCACGTTCGAAATACTACGCTTAATGTTTAGTATACCGAAGCTGACCCACCTACAGCGGAACCTCGATAGCTCTGAGGACCATTAAAATTGCACGGGTAGATAGTTTCATTAGAATGAAAAGTCCACTATGCCGACACTCCGCCGATATCTATTTATCAACTTATTCGCCTGGTGAAAATCAGAACCCACATTGAACCGTGGCGCCCTACAAGTCAACGGAAGCGATGAGTCTCAAGCAACACTAAGATGTTGCGGACCATACGTATACAATGATAATACCAGACGAATCCGCTTCCGCCTCGGGCGCAGAGCCATGGTTAGGCCGGAGGAGAGAGCGGAGTTCATTGTCCTTTTGCCGTCTCCGTTCAATGTCAGCTCGATCTTTTGCTTTGACACATTTATTATGTCCTGCTTCGATTCTACGGAAGTCAACGGTCGGAGTAGGCGACTAATGACTGACATACTTTTCATTGCATCAACTTCCACGAAAGAAGTGCCGTGGATCGTTAATGTATGTGCCTGACTCCATGCATTGAGAGCTCAGAGTGGCCACCAAGGGTCGGAAAAGTCCTTGTCTCATCATACGGGTCCGCTTATAAATAGAGGACACACGAAGAGGCAGGAAGAGACCTTCGGAAGTAGTCGTCAGAGGAAAGCAGCAGAATCGAAGGCCACTTTAATGGTGTCAGCTTTCTCACTGCTCGCTTCATCGGCCTTCACTTGCCAACCAACCGTCCTGGGTCTTCGTATCGTGCTCAGAAGCGAAGGTGAGGTACTGCAGATGTTCGAGATTTGTCCACCTGATCGTTGAGGACATCGCCGTCAGCAGCGTCAGGTACAGATGGAGGCTCTTGTTGGTGCGTCATGATTACCCTGTCATCATCGTCCTCCCTGCCATATCCTGGCTCAAGAGAAAATATTTCTCGGCCATTCAACTGGTATTTAGGGTCTCGCCGATAATGACGTCCTTTCGAATGCGGCATATCGCAGCCCGCTGGTAGTATCTCGGCCATGGAAGAGGCCTATCCGACATGTCGGGCATGACGGTTCCGTGGTTGACACGGCAGGTCTTATGAAAGTCACTGAATCATGTTGACGGAGATGCGTTCGACGCGATGTAAGATGGCGGAGGGAAGCTGGAAACACCGGTGGTCAGCAATTCAAATGCACCGAGAGTAATGCGCCCTACATAGTTGAGGGGGACAATATACTTGCTCCTTGAAATTAAAGCTCTATATGTTCCGGTCACCTTGGGCTAGAGCCTCCTTCAGGGGACTGGGGACAATATATTCTCCAAAGCGAGGCAGCATGGTGGCGAGGGGTAGTATAGCGTCCTCAAGGCTTGTCCAAAGATCTCGCAGTTGACCGCGTCCAAGAGAAGAGCAAGGACAAACGACAAAGTAGTAAAAGGTAAGCCGACTGCGGTATCTGCCGAAACAGGGTAGTGATGATCCAAGAATGTGCACTAGCTCACAGCCAACATACGAAACTCGCAACAAATTCCAGTCTACTAGTCCTTCGCTTTCCCAGTATGACAGGAATGAATATCGAACGCCGTCATCTGAAGAATATTCATTTGCACTACAAAGTCACTAAAAGGCTTTATTGGAGCGCAGGACCC